TTTGGGCATCTGAGAATTTGAGAGCTTGAAAACTTGGAGGTTTGAGAATTCGAAAGCTTTAAATTTGAAGATCTGAAAATTTAGAGATTCTAGAATTTAAAAGCTTGAAAATTTGGAAATGTGAGAATTTGGAAGCTTGAAAATTTGGAAATTTAAGAATTTGAAAGCTTGAAAATTTGAAATTTCCAAGTAACTTGCAACGCAAAATCGAAACACTCGACCGACAGTGTCGATATCCCCGTGGCAAACTGTAAAACGAAAGAATTCGCGATTTCCGTCCCGGAACGTTCCCGTTAATTGATTTGTAAGCAACATAGGTAACGAGTCGCGGAATTCCAAAGGGATCGCGGCGCGTTGATACTTACTTGCAAACCATCTAGCCGCTATAATTGCAGGGTTCGCCGCGTTCGCGCAATTATCCCCGAGTTTCTTTCGCCGCGCGCCAAGATCTATGGGACAGTTGACGCGGGCTCGAAGGCGAAATACAATCGGTGCGGCGGGGTTCCCTCTCGTAGCACGGCAATTACACGCGATTCGCGTAATCGTAAAACGAAACGTTAACCACGGCGAGAGGAGACTGTGTTGTATTCCTAAGTCGGGACTTGCGAAAAACGTAGCCGGGTGGTAAATCAACCGCGCCGCGCCGCGCTGGAAGGACGCGGATGGAAACTCGAGTGCATTCTAATAATTGCGCGTGTCCGTGCGCGGCAAATAATTCACCGCGGATACCGTTCTTCCGTCGCGTAACTATAGAACTGGAGATTCTAGCCAGTCGATATGTTAAATGAGTATTCGCGGAAGATTCCACGAGATGATTGTTCGATGAGATTTCAGAGAGAGAGAGAGAGGGAAAAGTTGGGTTGAGAACGTTGCTTGTTTCGAATTCTGTGGAGTGAGATAATTAACCCTTTGATAGCGGAGGAATATGGTAAACGTGACTGGGTCAGTAGGGACGAGTGTTTTTATCAGTTAGAATTGTGATTTTTATGGTAATTGATAATTCGAAATTTGAATAATTAACGAAATAGGAATAAAATCTCAGTATCCTCCTCTTTTTCATTTTCATCACTTAGAAACCTGATTTTTATAGTAATTGATATGTCGAAATTTAAGGATCGTTTTTTCAGTAATTTGAATAATTAAGGAAATTGAAATAAAATACAAAAGAAGGCTCAGTAGAGACATGTATCTATCGTTTTCTCGGTTTTCATCACTTAGAATTCTGATTCTTATAGTAACTGATATTTGGAAATTAAAGATCGTTTTTTCGGTAATATGAGTAATTAAGAAAATAGAAAGTAATGTGAACAATATACAAGGTGGCTCATGTAAAACAAACCATGTAATTATCTTCTCTATTTAGCTATAGTGATACGAGAAAATTTTTATACGTAATTTAAATGGTTTCAAAGGACGAATAAGATGGAAGAGATATTTTTCTGCTTCTTCTGCTTCTTTTCTACCGTATCAGACACTGATGTGCATTTAAACAAGTACAATAATAAGACCTTAAGTTTCCATCGAGAAACTTTTTCTCTCATCTTTACTTAATACTCAATAAATGAGTCAAATTTTTCTCTGCTAACTCTACACCTAATCGTCAGCCTATTTTATTGATACGCCTATTACAGACTAATACTCAGTCTTATAAATGAATTTTTCTTACTAAAACAGCTATATTTTCTTTCATAAAGAATGCTCATTGCACATAATTCCTCCATAAAACGCGACAATCAGACGAACGCACAGCGTCGAATACCAAAGACCGCTCCGACCAACGAGAAGAATCATAAAGCACCGCGACCTTCGCTACCGTGACACGATCGTTTCGTGTAGCCACGTTGAACGGGGTCGTGGCCGCGGTCAAGATACCAGCGTAGTTACGTCACTGGTCACACAGGTGCGGTGCGCGAGATCGGCTACCCCCGAGGGAAGGTGGCCGTAGAGACAGAACTACAAAGAAGCGCGACGGCAAGAAGTGTAACGCGAGAGCGAACAAGAAGAACAGGGTACACCGAGTCTAAAGGGGGCGACGGGAGTGGGGAGGAGAATGAGCGAAAGAGAAGAACGAGAGAGAGAGAGAGAGAGAGAGGAAAAAAGGAAAAGAAAGAAAAGAAGAGAAAAAAAATATATAGACACGACAAGAAGTCGAGGACATGCGTCGTCGCGAAGGAGGCGAGCGGAGCGGAAGAGAAGCTCCGCTTTGGTCGCGTAAAAAGACAGAGACCGTGGCGCTCCGCCCCAGGTACACGAGCAACATGGCCGCTGAGGGACGGATTGGCGGAGGCCAGCCACGATGCCAACGTCGTCGTGACGCCCGCGCTTCACTCACCTCGCCTCAAACTCAGCGGTCTTCGCTCCCATCGGCCCCTACGGCACTCCTCCGCTTGAAACGGTCGCCGCCCACCCTGCCCTGCTCTCCCCCCACCTCTACTCACTCTCCCTCCCCTTTTATTTCACGCTTCACCTCTCCCTCTCGCGCTCTCTCTCTCTCTCTCTCTTTCCCCCACTTGCCTTCTCGCAACGTGTCTGTCTGTCTTTCTCTCGCAACGATCTCCTTCGTTCGTCAGCACCCTCTCCAGTCACCCACGCGAAACACACGGCGCTCAAACACAAACGATAAACGCATACGCACGTACGAAGTTTGATCGCACGGTGCAAGCTCACCGATGAACACGGGTAATCGCGTTGGAAGCCTCGGGACAAGGTTGCAAACTGTCCGCCAAGGACGTTTGCTTAAAGGTTTTTACAGGAACGTCGGTTCCCTCTTTCAGAAGGAGGCTTCTGAAGATATCCGGGAATGATAACGGGAACCGCGAATGGGGCGCTCCCTCTCATTATCTTGTACGTTAAGGGAAGAGAGTTGGTTTCAGGGAAGCGTTTTACAAAGTGACGATCGCCGGTGAATTTCAGACGGGGCAATACTTTCGAACTGGTTTCCCTCGAGCCTTCGCGCACGATACAAATGATAATTGGCCCTGGGGTAATTATCAACGTCGAGGAATGGATCTGGGAAGTATCGGATGCGAATACTCGTTTCTCTGTGGTAGATAGTTGTAATTGCGTTTTCTTGTAATTGGTTAACCGTTTGGTTTTAATCGCGCCGCAGTATGGCGTCGACTTTGAACGCACCACGCGCGCACGCCGATGCAAATTCGCAACGAATTATATATCGATGTGTACATTTATTCGAACGTATTACGTAACTTCATTACGTTACACCATACCGCGCGTTCACGTGTGATGCGCCGGTGTGGTTGTAACGAAACTCAACGATGTGTGCGTTGATGCATGGTAAATATGCATCGACACTTGCATAGTAATGCAAGACTAACGAGAAACATATTTGGATACGTCGTTGTTATATAGATAGAGGGATTTTTCAGACTAACCTGTGAAATTTGAACTTCGTCGATAATTCAACTATTCTACGTGTAACTGTTTCGATACATAGTGTGCCTTATGGCCAGATGTAGTACATAAGGTTACAGGTGCCTGTGTAACCTTAAATTGCCTATTATGCGGTTCGTCCGAAGGCAGCCACAGAAATTAACGTAACCGAAATGATTGACACAGCTGAGTCAGCGATTCGTCGCGCCACTCAAGCTATCACGATGGAAGAGGGAACTAACGAAATACTTGCATAATAATTCATTGTATCCACTAGACGAACAGGCAACACACAGAGGTCGCGGCTGTTATTAGAGAAGCGGCAACGGTTTCCTAAAGCTACGCGAAAGTTTACTGTAATTGCGTCTGGGAAACGCCGATTGTTACGGCGTAAGTTAATGGGCTGTGATGATAAATGTCCGCGAAACTTAAGTTATATCGCAAGCACGACCAGCGTAGTCGAGAAGCTACCTGTTGATTCCTACCTGCTTCCTGATATTTATGCGTGTATACAGGGAAATATTACGCGGAATGTCTGGCGAGACGATAACATAACTTTGAGCGCATTAATGTCGCCGCACGCGTTCTCGCCACGAGAAACATCGTGCAAACGTATAATTTTCGCGATCAAATGGCAAACTGATTGAGCGAACATACCTCGCCGGAAATCGAGACCTCGGGTTATGATATATGGCGGTTGGAAATCTTTCCCCCGTTGATTCAGCCTGTGGTCTGAAAATACGAGGCAATGTATCATGATAAGACGTCGTATTTAAAAAATGATACAAGACAGATGGTTAATTTAATTACTTATTGCAATACTCGTGCAGTCCAGATTGAATTATGATTTATGACGCGGTAACGTTGCAAAAACCGAACGAAATTTTATTTGAGCGCGGGACGAACACACGAACTGCGAATAAAATATCGCCACTACTGCTGTTAGAGGGCAGCACCTATCGAGAAGACGTTTGGAGCCATCTGTAGGCTTTATTACGAACTAAATTAGAATTCAAATTTTTTTTTCCTTTTCTTTTATTAAAGTATAATATAAAATTTGAGTTACTTTTCTTATTATGCAACACAAGTAATAAGAATACTTTAATTTAGTTATATGACTTGAATTTTTTTAATTAAAGCATTACTGTCTTTTGGTACGGCCGGTAGATGACGAAGAGGTCTATTTCCGATAACTTGGAACTTTTAACGTACTGTTAGATATGTTGGCAAACCTGATTCCTCAAATTTTTAACACAGAATATTTTTCTCGTAATAATTAAATTTCTTCCGTTATTTGATAAAATTGATTTCTGCAGTATCTTTTAATATTTCAACGCTACGACTCAGGTTTATTTTTTTCATTACTGAAACGTAATTTATTACGACGTTTATACGTGATACATTTGTTAATCAACTAAGCTCTAGTTTGTAGTATATTCTTTTTATTTATTTTACTGGTTTTTATTTACGGTAGTTTTATATACTTTTTGATGCAAATTTCGGTGTAGAAACTGTATCCTACGAATGAAACAGAAAATGTACGTGATCGTCAACGCTTTCTCGCGGTGTATAATAGAAGTACAATCAGCTGACCCTGTCTTCCGAGCGTTAAATGCGTATTTATAAATAACGTGGCGTACAAGTTCGTCGCGAGCTTGTGTTACTCTTCAGTAACTAAACGTCAAAATGGTAGATATAAAAAGTAACGTGAGTTTTGCGTGCCAGCGATGTCTACAACCTCTCAGACTGGATACTAGTTTTTATCATCTCGGGGAACACACGTTAGCAGAACTTTCACGTAGGTAATTTCTATTTCGAACTATATGATTTTGTAAGAAATCTTGTTCTTCATTTTACTTCTCCGATACTAAGATAACATCGTTTACCCTGAACTTACTCCATGATATACAATCGTCGCACTTCTCTTGTTCGTTGTGTTAACATAATGCGCTTTGTATTTACACCACTCGATCATTTTCAGCGAACTGTTTTTACCTTAAGAATTGTTTTATATATTTTTCTAGTTGTTTACACGAATGTCACATTGATAGAATGTAATCTATTAATATAAGTTTTATCTAACAAATGACAACATAAGTCACTGTTTATAATAGTTCCTATCCAACAACAAGTGGTGGGAGAGATAGAGCCACAAAGTGGAAGCATAGAACATTTAGTACCTCCATTTAAATTAACCGAATCTGCAAATGGAACTAATGGATTCATGTTGGTTGGGGATTCTGGGGAAACAGAAAGTCTCAGTCACCATTTGAAGGTATTTCAAGCCTTTCTGACTCAACCACAGAGAAATATAAATATAATTTATTTGTTTAAGGTACGGGCAACATTATTTGATATTCTTAGTAGTAGTAGCTCTGCTGATCACCCACTCTGTGATGAATGTACGGATAGTCTTTTATTGTTAATGGATCAGCAATTGAGACTGACTGAAGAAGAATGGTCAGATTACAATGAATATTTAAAAAAGTTAGAAATAGAGCAGCAACAACAGGGTCATGAAGATGTAGAAATGGAAACTCTGACAAAGGAACTGCAAGATGTGAAGTCAGAAGAGAAAAGAATGATAAGAGAGTTGGAAGCATTAAGGAAAGAAGAAATTGCAACTAGAAATGCCATAGTTGAACAAGAGAGGGAAAGGGAAAAGTTGCAATGTGCAGAAGAAAGATATTGGAAAGAACACTCAAAGCATAAAAGAGATCTTATATTGGCAGAAGATGAGTACCGTAGGTAATAAAGACATGTTGCATTAGATGCATTCTTTATACTTCCTTTTCATTAACATTGACAATTTGTTTAGTCTGGAGTGCCAGTTAGCATATGCAGCTTCACAGCTAGAGAGACTGAAGAAAACAAATGTTTTTAATGCTACATTTCATATTTGGCACTCAGGACATTTCGGAACTATAAATTCCTTCCGATTAGGCAGATTGCCGAGTGCGCCGGTAGATTGGAGCGAAATAAATGCCGCATGGGGACAGACCACCTTACTGTTAACAGCTCTTGCTAGGAAAATGAATCTCACGTTCAAACGTTTTCGATTAGTGCCATTTGGTAATCATAGTTACATTGAAGCTTTAGACCAACATAGAGAACTTCCTTTGTATGGAAGTGGAGGATTTAAATTTTTATGGGACACAAAGTTTGATGCAGCAATGGTAGCATTTCTAGACTGTTTGCAACAGTTTAAAGAACAGGTGGAAAAAGGAGACAGTGGGTTCTGTCTACCGTATAGAATGGATCGGGGAAAAATAGAAGATTCCGCAACCGGCAACTCTTATTCAATCAAGTACTATTATTCATACGAACCACGAGTGCTTTTTTAATCAAAGTTATCCGAAGTATTCGTTCTACATATTTCATATTTATTCCGTGTCTTCTGTTTTAGAATACAATTTAATTCGGAGGAACAATGGACCAAGGCATTGAAATTTCTGTTGACCAATTTAAAATGGGGTTTAGCATGGGTTAGTTCCCAGTTCACAAAAGGCGAGGCTGAGCATTAACTTGTTGTTAGTTTATGCAAATTCATCCAGTCTTAATCATACATCTCTTTTACATTCACTTATGTACATACATGTTATTTGTAAATAAACTCAGTTAAAGGATAATCCTTTTATTTAGAATTTGATAATACTTATTTTGTACAATTTGCATAACTTTGAAAGTTGTTTAATTTGATGTTAACAACAATGTTCATGTTTGTTAGCTAGAAACCAGGATACACCGTACAGTAAACTTGGGGGACTTTGAACTTCCTCAGAACTGATGTATAGTTTTGCTTCTGGGATGCTTAATTCCACCACTTCAATTAGTTCCCCTTCAGATGCAGCACCCCCTCCTTTAATTTGACGAATGTCTCACATTTAAATACAAGAAACATGGAAATTTTTGCAAAAATATATTATTAAACACCATAAATTTATTTATCATTCGTATCATCAACATTAACGATCATGTACAGAATACAATCTTTACGTGTACAAAAGTATTAAAAAAAAAAAGAAGCTATATTTATATTTAAGCTTACCTGGATGTATATGCATCTCGTCTGTAACTTCCGCGTAGTAGAGCGTATGCTTGCAGACAGAAGTGGAAATATATCTAAAATCAACCCACAAGAAAATAAATAACCAAACGTGACAAAAATATTTATTTTTCTTTGAAAGTGACAGTTTACACAGGGACAGAGTTGCAAAAAATTTTACGAAACATACGCGCGCGCAGACAACACTATGACGTATCTCACTTGTCGTTTCAGACAGTACCACAAAACAAAACATTCAACATTTTTTCACAACTTACATAAGAAGATTTTAGCATTTATATAAACTATTATTCTGCCATTGACACACCTGAAAGTAATCACATATTTAAAGGCCTCCGTAGGTGCTTCGTAACCACATTCTTCTCTGACCTCGTCCCTCGCGATCTCGACAAGTGGTTTATCCTTATCCACAATACCGGCGCAAAGTTCTAATGTCAAACCCAACGACGGCGGATATCGATTAAGGTCCACTGGGCCGTGTTGCTCCGGTAGGAATGTGTAAAAGAACGCCGGACGAAATTGTCGGACGAACACAAGCTTCTTCCGACTGGTGTTGAATATAATTATACTCACACCGTCGTGTGCCCTCACCACGTCCCAGTCTTTAGGTTCGCCATCTTGTTGGTAACGTATCTGAACAGGTCTGATCCACGGGGAGTCTTGCGGACATTCTGTTATGCATAGCTCTTTCACATCGAGTATCCTTTTTCGTATATTCTCATTTTGCTTTTCCTGTGCCTTGACATCCATTTGTCACACGTTACGGAAACTGATCTTCTCGGCTTGACTCAACTGTTTAACTCCGGTCGGTAACGTTTCGACGATCATGCGCATCGAATACCTGCAGATGCCGCGCTCGACGCCAAACTGAAACGCGCAGTCTCAAACCGCGTTCCGTTCGAGAATCGTGTAAATCGTTCCGTTATCAAAGTATAAATAAATCTGTTTGATATCCTCAACGTTTCTCAGAAATATCCATCAATCTCGTGAATTGGAATACAATTGTGACTACAATCTTGCAGCTCGTCGTTTATCGTTCAAGGTACATACTTTTATTTTCGAACCGAAGTCTTCGATGCTTTTCTTAACCTTTTGTCCCTCCTACCACGTCTACTCTTTTTCTTAAGTTCCTCCGCTTTGTACGCGTCTATAATCTCTTGTTGTCGAACTTGCGTATCAACGTGAATCACGTCAGGTTTCTTGCGAATCCTGCTAACCGCCGCGGGAGGAGAGAATTCGATCTCCATATCGGACGCCGTCGAGCTAGACGCAACAGAAGCGTCATCTTTGTTCTTCACGATTTTAAATTGCAGTGGTTTCATTGGCTCGGCGAGTCGAGCGTCGGTAGACGTCTCCTGTCTAATGGGATACATCGTCACATAATAAGTGCCGTCCTTTCTATGAATATGCAAAGTTGGCGGAGCTTCTACTCCTTCCTCTTCTCCTTCCATCTTCAATTGCTTCTGCATACCCTGGTAACTCATAGCCCTTCCCGTTCGTCTCGAAGCTGGGCTCTTTTGCCGCGAAGGCGCCGATCGTGCGCGTTCAGTCGCCATTCTTCCTCTTCCACCAACTCTTCCACCGCGATCAACTCCTGTTCTTCCTCCTCTTGCACCAGTTCCTTTTCCAGCTCTTCCACGATCGCCATCTCTTCCTCTTCCACGCTCATAATCTCTCTCATCCTCCTCGGCAAAAGAATTCTCCTTCGCGTCTTGCAGCATTTCGTACAGATAACGACCGATAGCGCCCGGTTTCCAACCAATCCGCGGTTTCAAATTTCCCGCCGTGTTCACGGTGTTCCATAACCAGCCCATATTAGCCGGCACCCGAAGATTCACATCGATGCACTCTCTATGACCATAATTAATCCCTGGATAAAAGTCACCGACGAAGTACACGTATTTCATTACGCGTCTGCTGACCGGCACTTCAGGCTGCAAAGCAGGGCTACGATCGCCGTCAGGACCAAAATCTTTTCCTTTTTCTTTATTGTCGAATGTCTTTCTTTGTTGACTCCTTGGATTACTAGACCGATAACCAGGGCTACCACGGAGATTCCCACGTCGTTTCGAACTTCCGCCTCTCGACGTTTTCGGCGATTTACGTCGACCTTTCGTCGTAGCAGATTTTTTCACACCGGCTCGCGGTTTCGAGGAGATCTGAGAGGCAGTCTGGTGCACGGCCTCGCTATCAGGCGGCTTTCTTCGTCTCGATTTGCATTTCGGCTCACCGCAAGGACCCATCTCCGCCTCCGTCACCGCTAACGAAGTAGCGTCCAACTCTTTCTTATCCGTCTTCTCGTCCTTCTTCTCCTCCTTCTTCCTATGTTTCGTAGACACGAGCGCGGAACCGGCCTCGGGTAGAACGGGTATAGCTTCACGCACGATTCCTAACCGCGGCGGCACAGTCACTCCGCGGGGAAGATCAGGCGCGTATGGAGAGAGCGGAGGACGAGTCTCGTCGAGTTTCCCTATTTGCATGCTGCAAGGGGCGGTGCAAGTAGGAGCTCGAGGACTTCCAGGTTTCCTCCTTTTGCTCTCCTCTTCAGCTTCCACGTCCACGTAATCTCTGTCCAAATCTCTGCCAAAATAAGGACTCTCCGATGGGTCCATCAAACCCAAACCCTCCAGTCCTGGCACTTTTCCGATCGAATCGACGAATTCCTGAGCATCCTTGAACGCTCGTATCAAACAATCGATCCCCATACAAGGACTTTTCATGCATTTAGCACCGCCTCGCGGAGACTTGGAGTCCTTACCAGGACAAGCACAGCCAGGCTTCGCTCCAGTTGACGTCACTCGCGGCGTACACGCATCAAAGATGGGTATCACGTCTCCTTCTCTAGACCCGGACTTCCGATGCGGAACCGGAACTGGACTACCGGAACAACTGCAGCTGGACATTCCTTCCTCCCCGCCGCCGCCGCCCTCCAGTCGACGTTCCCGGTTATTTTTATCCCCGTACCAGGTGTAGTCTGCGCCGGTGTCGTAATCGGTCCACCTGTATCCACTGTTGGATACGCTGGACAGGTAAATTTGCTCTATGTCCCCGCCACCTCTCAGTCTGGCGGGTTTCACGCACGGAGAATCTTCCTTCAGCGTGTTCAACGCCGAGAGGACATTGTTCACGCAATAGGTATTGGCCAACGTGTCCTCCGCGTGTTTGTCCTCTCGCGGGGATAGGATATTGGGATTTCTCAGTTTCACGCAGCAAGGACGAGTACAGCCGGAACGACATTCCATAGGATGCTTCGATCGATCCGCGGGCAAACAGCTGCAGGTTCTCTCGTTCGGATAAGCCGTGTACACCAGCTCTCTGTACTTCGGGTCGTTGAGTTTTTCGGCTGTGGTCAGGGTCTTGAAAGCTGGATCTTCCATTGAGATTCGCGGAGGAGAATCTGGTCGTTTCAGTAATGGTTTACTCGAAGTAGCTTCGTCCTTCGAGTCTTTTCTATCGTTGTTTGTGCTGTCCGAGGGAATGTGAGGACAGAGGAACTTCCGGAGCGGTGAATCTTCTAGCATGAAGGATTTTCCTTGCAGAGAGAAATTCTTGACGATCGAGCTTCCGTAACAGGATAATCTTAGAATTACAGTCACGTTACCGGTCATTTTACCGTCAGAATTAGTCAGATCAAAGGTGTCTTTCACTGTGCAAGGTGTGGATGCTTGATTTTGCGCCTTGATCACGTGTTTACACATGCAAGCAGGCAACGTGATCTTCGTTCTACCTAGAATTCCAGGATTTTTATCAGAGCAACTTGAAGTTTTGTCGTATAATTCTAGACACAGAGGAGACCATCTTATGGCTCTGATCAGGCAGCTAGGTGTTTTAGCGAACAGACAAGATTTCCCAAATTTCGAATCGGTCGAATTTTCAGTCTGTTCGTCGTCTTGACCATCAACTTCCTTGTTTGGAGGAACGTTTATCTGGTAAACCGGTAAATCGGTGAATCTCACACAGACGATTAAATCTTCTTCACTCACGTTCGTTATATCGTGATTTAAATTGACTCGATCGACGAACACTTCGAGTATATAAAGCTGCTCTCCCTTCGATCTCGAGGTCCTCTTTTTCAGAGCCATTTTCCGTTCTGTTCTGTTTGCTATTCACTGCACGGGAATTTAGAAGAGAATCGTGAACTCACGGGGTCTACCCGAAACGCGCCATTAATTTTGTGGTCGTTTTACGGCCAATAAATGTGCGAACCTAACCGCGCCGGCGTTTCCAATCAGTTAATTTTCAGCCTAGTGTACAGTTACCATAGTGACCTGCACCGACAGAATTCAGTCCATAGAATTCCTATACCGGGTGATTTTCTTCGTCACCTCCTACTCTTTCTTCCTTTCCGCCTTTTCGTCTGCGACAATCTCTCTTTCTCTTTGTCCTTCAACTCGTCCATCGTCGTTCTATCCGGATAATCAGCGATATCCTTAACATCCGGACGATAACTAGGCGGTACCAATCGTCTAACGCAGAATTCTCTTTCTCTGTCGTCGTTTCGAAACGTGAAGAACTTAGGATGCAGCTCGTAGTGGGTCATGATCGATCTACCGTAACACAACAGTCTCATTTCCATCTCCAACGTTCCCGAAGGGTTCTCGCCGGGGTCCAACAAGTTGAAGCTACCTTTTACCATAAATGGTTTCGGCAGATTCGCGGGGTCGTTTTGAGCCATGGCCACTTGGTCGCACAGACAGCCGGGCAACGTGATCTCGGTTTCAGCGATGGGATACGTGTCCCCCAGACGAAACACGCCGACCTTTATCATTGTCGATTGTAACTCCCTTACGAGCTCCTTCGGTTGCTTCACGAACAGGCAACTCCTGCCTATCATGAAGTGAAAGGTGCCGTCTTCGCCGGGGGGCGGCGGTTTCAGCGAGTAGAAATCCTCCCGCGTGATCTCGAACACAGGGAAGTCGAGGAACTTGATCTTCACCGCGACCGGGAACTCGCCGATGTCTTTGATCTTGTTTCGCGTCAACGTCAGCTTGTGGACCAGCATTTCGACCATGTAGATCTGCTCGTCGCGGCCGCCGAAGCAGGACATCGCGGGGATTCGGCGGTTTTAAAGGAGGTCAGGTAAGAGAAGGTGAATTAATTGCGTATTTCGACACAGGGAATTTTTCGAGGTTGAGAACTGGAGTGACAGATTAAACGCGTGACAATTGAATCTCGAGCATCGTGCGAGATAAATTGATTTTTTTTTTAAGGATGATTCTGAAGGAAATATGGAAGATGAGAGGATTTTTAGTATTCAGGTTAGACATATTAGGTTGTCCATAAATTCGCGTTGAAGGCGAAAAATATTTTAATGAAAATCCAAGGAAATGCTATCTAATTCTAAAGAAAAATGGGAAAAAATTGTGGAACGAGAAGGCACTTACGTTTCTTTTTTTTTTTTTATCAAATTTAAAGATCTAATTTATAAAATTCGACAGGAACTTATGGGACGACCTAATACTTAATCAACTTAGGTCATGAAATTAATCTCGTCGGTGTAAAACACGAAAGTTTGTTTTCACATTTACGAGAGATGTAACTTTCCTTCATTTGAATACGAGATCGACATAGATCATAGACCGACGTGCATTTTCAAGCGTTCGTTCTCTGTTTCGCGAGATGCTCGGTGCATCATCCTCGCATTTGAATGCAAGACTGACATTTGCCTTTCGTGAATTTTCTACTCGTTCCAATCTAATTCAAGACTTATTTACGACATCGAACACTGGCAAGATACAAAAGTCAATTTCACGTCGAAAGGGTTGATTTCAGAGCATTTGTTAATCACGCATTTTTTATTCCTCTCACCGATAGCTACGGGCCTCCAAAGTCTCAGACTCTTTTCTCTCAGAATTCCGCATTTATGCGTATTTCTGCACGTATTCTCAGCCTCGTCGATTTAACACTTGCACATTTCGCAACGATTTTCTCAAAGAGGAATCTAAACGGCGGTGCAGGACGACTCTCTTCCTATACCACACTTCCGTGTCTATAGATATCCCATCATCAGGTCGAAGGTAGAAAAATTCCGGTGGACGTACAGTCACGTATATCCCATCTAGCATACGCGACCGTGCGGCGTCTCTAATTCCATTGGCAGTTATTACTTAGCTCCCACAGTGGTGTATACTTAATCCTTGCGCCGCGGAACAGCCTGCCAGAACCGTTACGAAAATCTGAAGGAAAGCCCCGTCGCAAATCCGTCCCTTTTTCCGCTATTTGCCGCGCGATAATCCCGCTACTCGGTGTCGCCGAGAGCCTCGCGTCGCGTCGTCCCGAAACGCGTCGTAATCCCAGGTAGCTCTTCCCCGTTTGCTCGATTCTTACCCGTGACTAATCGTCTATTCGCGAACATCGTCCTATTGTTCAGGTTTGCAACTTTACATACTTAGCGCGAGGGAAGGAGGCGAGTAAGTGAAACGAAAACTGGTAACTGTGAGCTTACTGTGAAATTAAAATAGTATTTTCTATTCGCTTGGATACTTTTTGTTACCGTGTAGGAGCAATATTTTTGGGAATATCTTGGGATTGGTGTCTTTGAAGACGCCGCTCTATGCGTAATCTTGGTGTCATTTTTCTGGACCATGTTTCGAGTGTATTTCCAAATTTAGAGTATTGAATTTCGCGTGGGTCACCGATGGCCCACGTTATTGCGTTCCTTTATTGCATTTCACTAGGGAGGTGAAAGCGTGTCATCGCTGCCTGGGTCACAAATGACCCACGGTACGATAATTCCACGATAAACCACGATAAAAATGACGTTACCAAACATTTCCACGGTGAATCGTTCGTTTTACACGAAACCTCATCGATGGTCCACCGATGACCCACACAGAACACTGAGTTCCCGCGTACATATCCGAGAATACAGCGAAACGAAGCTGACCTTGGAACGATTCGTCCCATTCCGTGGACGACGCGGTTCCAGCTCGAGTCCGGCCACCGAAAGCGACCGACAGGGCAAGCAACGTTGGCCCAGCCGAACACCGAGGGCCCAAGTATGCGCTAATTGGTACGGGCGCGCGCACGCACACACTCTCGAATCCTACGTAAAAGAGCGAGACAGGCTAAAAGAGGGGAAACCGTGGAATAGAGTAAGAAGGGTAGAGAAGTGGCGTGTGGAAGTACGAGAGAGAGAGAAGAGAAGAGATATCGTGAACGTTGTGGCCTCTGGTTCGGGTGGACGCTTGGAAGCCGACCAGGCAGAAGTAAAATTCCGGACCGGGCGACACGGCGGCTCGTTAAAATGCTTCTGGGGGTTTCGGGCGCGGGACGCTCCAGGTAATTGGCGATTAGCGATTAAAACGAACCTCTCTGTCTCACTTTCTATACCTTCTTCACTCTTCTCCTCTCCCTCTCTCTCTGTTTCGGGCCTTTTCTTCACCGTTCTGCTCGACAGAGTATAAAGCGTCTTTTATCGACTCACCCTCGAAAGAGAGAAAAGAAAGGGGGAGAGAGAGAGAGAGAGAGAGAGAGGGGTTCGTGTAGATTGGCCGATTTTATCTTCTACCTGGCACAACGATGACACTCGACCGGCCCGTTTTTGAAGCTTCTTTCCTCGATGGTCGCGAGACCACGGGGGGAATGGCGTCCTTAATCGTGCGACTCGAGCCAACGATGATCACTTTCCAGACGGGATTGGGGACCGTTTCTTGCCGGCTCGCCTGGGAATCCCAGCGCGGGTCGCAATCCGCGGCGAACGTTTACCGGCATCCGGATGGACCGGAAATAAATAGCGACGCGTACGATACTGTTCTTCGTTGAATAACATGCAAAAGTGGTTCGTCGAAATAATTGAATTTATTTTTCGTTTTTTTCTTCCATCGCACATTTCGACTCAATTTAACCCTTTAGTTTAACCCTTTTGTAACGTCGTGTGTCTTAGAAGTGGACTATTTCACGTCGAATGGTGGTAGTAAATTTACTTTATTCATTCTAACTTTAAATAATAGAAGAATGCAGTTTTTTTATCCGGGGAGAAATGGGGTGCAGGCAGGGTGACTCTGCGGTAGCTTTCCAAGTGAAGATGCATTCCCCGCGACTAGTGTTAAGATGGGTGACCGCCAACGTTGGAAAAAAAAATTTATATATGTAATTTAT